ATTTAATTGAAAAATTACAAATCAAATTGATTTGCTCTACAAATGAAATCAAAAATTTGTATTTCTTATTTGGTTGAAAAATCACAAATAAATTTTATTTTTTATTTGGTCAACAAACTAAATCATAATAATAATTTCTTAATTGATAGCGGATTTTAAATCAATAACATGACCGCGACGTTGACGTTGCTTATATCTCTCTATCTCTCTATCAACAGCAAATTTGAAATGTTTCTACGCACTTCTAATACTTATTTTTCTTCTTCCAGCGATAAGTGTCCGTGTCCAATAGCAATAGCAATAGCACACATCTACAAAAAATAAACCACCTATTCTGTTTTGTGGGTTATTTTTTCCCTTAAATATTGACGGTTATTTTGGGACACTTTCAAAGTGTTGACGGTTATTTTCGACCTCTGATAACAACTGATACAAATGAAAAAATTATAAACAGCGTAACGAAAACATAAAAATATCCAATGAAATGAAATAATGAAAACTTAAAATTTTTATCACTATTCCCTTACATTAACACAGTTAACAGTTAAATTTTAATCATAAACAATTTCGTTTGGGGTCGCCATAGCCTACTAAGTATATTCCGAGTAAAGAAATTTCTAATAACAATAGATAATATTATTATGATTATTATTATTATTACTATTGCGAACTCCTATTATATGCGCAAACAGACATTCTCAAATTAAAGCTAAAGCAGAAGGGCATTTACGATCGCATGATGCAAGTGTTAACATAGTAAGAGCTGCGTGTAATTTCTGGCGTGTGCCGATGACATCCACATCATCGGTAACAAAAACCTCGAAGTCTGTTCTGCCTTTCCAAGTTGGATAACGAACGATAACAACATCAAATAAACAGTCAGCACTTTCGCGCCTTGGCACCCACGACACTGTTGATAGTTACAATTTCGAGAAAGTAGAGAATTCCGTTTACTTGGGAACTAGCATTAACACCGATAATAATGTCAGCATTGAAATCCAACTCAGAATCACTCTAGCCAAAAAGTGCAACTTTTAACTGAGTAGGCAGTTCGGGAGTAAAGTTCTCTCTTGACCTACAAAAACCACACTCTATAAGTCACTCATCATTCCCGAACGGGTTTATGGCGCAGAAGCTTAGACAATGACAAAATTCGATGAGACGGCTCTTGGAGTATTCGAAAGAAAGATCTTACGAAAGATTTACAGGTCTCTCCGCCTTGGAGACGGGGAGTATCGCAGACGATGGAACGATGAGTTGTATGAGCTTTACAACGAAATGGTCATAGTGCAGTGAATGGAAATACAGCGGCACCGTTGGCTTGGACATGCCATTCAAATGGGAACCGACGTTCCAGGTCTGAAAGTATTTAACTTGCAAATGGAGAGACCAAGTGGAGAAGGATTTGGCTTCACGTGGCATTTCCTATTGGCGTCAGTTGCCACAGAGATAAACGACTGACGTTCTTTGTCGAGCTCGGCCAAATGGCTTAGGCGGTTCCAGCGTCAAATAAGAAGGAGAAAATAATATCTGGGGACCTTATTCTTGGATACGCCTGGAGGAACTAGGAAAACATTCCTTATCAGATTGATTCGGAGGACGGTTTGTTAAAAAAATTACATAAGCTTAGCTAGGGCTCCGCCTGGAATTTCTGCGACATTGTTATTAGGTGAAAGAATTGCTAATTCAGCAATCATACGTGCAATATTTCCAGAAGATCCGGTATGGAAAAAGTAATACGAAAATTTAAACTCATTGTTTGGGATGAGTGTACAATTGCACACAAAAAATTGCTTGAGGTTTTTGATCAATTCTCGCGAGATTTGCATGGAAACGTTTAACCATTCGGGATTGCATTGATGTTGTTCTCAGGAGATTTAACGCAAACATTGCCTGTAATTTCGCGATTAACACTAGCGGGCGAGATAAATGCTTGCCTGAAATAGTCTACATCGTGGCCAAGGTGAAGAATTCCCATGATTCCGACCGATACACAATTTCAATTTAAAAGATTGCAATTCCCAATTCAATTGGCATTCGGAATCGCAATCAATAATGCCCAAGTCAACCTTTGGAAAAGTGTGGTAAACCTACCAAAAGTATCCAAAAACATTGTTTTGCAAACTGTAACTGTTTTACCACATACGGTCAGCATGTACTTATTTGAAACCATCTTTCTATTATGAAGGCTAATCTCTAGACGTGTTGCTTCATTATATCGCGCAATGTAGTCCCATTGGCGACTGTGATCACCGATGCTCCAGAACTCGGTAAAAATTGCGAGTCGCTGCTCTTCGGTAATTTTCTTTGAGCAAGAGAATCTACATACACCGCAGCCAAAACCCATTTTTCTCTCGAAAATTGGAGCGTCTGTTTTGTTCACCCCTGGGCTGCCTGAGCATTTTACTTTTTTGGCTTTTTCGTGGTTCCACTCAGCTGGCGTTCGTTGCCGCTTTCGCGTTACTACCTTTCCAGTAATTTTAGTTTTCTTTTTTGGAAATTGTATAGTATCGTTATCTACCACACTATATTCAGTCCACTCATTGCTATCGTCGCTAGGACGCTGTAGACCAGAACAACTAGCTTCACCTATATGATATTGTATTAAATAGATTTTCTTTTTATAGTATAGAATTTAGGTTGTAATCATATTTCGGAATTAACCCCACTCGCATGCCATTCTATTTCCAAATAAACCGCATTAAAAACTAATTGAATTAAAAAGTAAACAGTCTGTAAATTTTACCTTCAAAAATGTTAATTATACATTTTCGTACAACGATATCTTCACGTGGTAGTAGCCCGCTGCATTGTAATGGCATGCGAAGTATCCTAGATAAGTACATCAAAATATTGTATAAAAAAGATTGGCTTACTCATTTGCTGCAATTTGCCGAAGGAGCTACTTCTTTCACTTGAACAAGATATATCGAGCAATAAGTAACCTAATTTGAGAAAGAATGATATATTTCATTCCAGCGACAAACTCGGTATATTAAAAACAATTTTTACCTTCTTCATAGCTTAGTTTCCCTTTAGTTTCATTATTATTTGGAATGGAGGCAGAATCTTCTAAATTTTTTAGTTTTAAGCTATTAAAGATAGATGAAAAAATATCTGAAGTGAGAAAATAATTTAGCCGCTTAAAATTTTTTTAATTAATGCTATTTTACCTTCCATTGTAGATTCTTTTAATTGATGCTGTGTTAATATGTAATGAAATTTTTTAGAATGCAAATTTTTGAGCGGAGAAAATTAATAACTCGTTCGACAACGAATCTAGTAAAAAATCAGATTGAAATGAAAATTTGAAAGACACAAAAGCAAAGTCTATATTGACTCCTACCAAAAAGTTAATGTGAAAACAAAATGCTTTCACAGTAATTATTTTCACTGTACCACATTTTTTTCAAGAATAAAAACCATACTGAAGATAATGCTTTCTTGAAGCGGCAGCTCAGATAGGTCGATATTGAGCCATTTGCTGAGATAGGGCGTTGTTCAATCAAATTCTGAGACGGCGTTTTCGGAGCGGCAGCTGAGATAGGGCGTTTTTGAATAAAATTCTGAGATAGGGCTTTGTTCAACTAAATTCTGATATAGGGCGTTGTTCAATCAAACTCTGAGATAGGGCGTTTTTGAAGAGGCAGCTGGGATAGGCGTTTATGAACCGAATTCTGAAATAGGGCGTTCTTCAATAAAATTATGAGATAGGGCGTTCTTCAACTAAATTCTGAAATAGAGCTTTGTTCAAAAATTTTCTGAAATAGGGCGTTTTCGAACTGGCTGCCGAGATAGGTCGATCTTCCACTCAGCTATCGATATATGATTTCAGGGACTAAAAAATGGACAATGGACAATCAAGTGTTTCTTGATATTCTCAAATAATAAAGATCTGCGCCGGTCGTTTTACTTCTTTTTAATATTCGGTATTCTCCATTTGAGATAAATTATTTTTAATCTCTTCAAAACACCAATGCCTTCGCGTAGAGACAAACCATTGGTTTGTATCCAAGCATAAATGCCATTGAAGTTACGGGTTAATAATAACTAAATCTGTTTTTATATTATTTGTAAACATTTCTTTAGTTCGACGAATAAAACAAAAACACCCAAAAAAAGGCCAAGAAAAATTTATTGACCCAAATTTTCTTGAGCAGTACGAAGTTCTCAAAAATTGTCTACGCTTTCTACTATGGTTTGCTAAAATTTGGTTGTGAAGAGTACAAGGACCCCTTGTTTTCAACAGAAATATATGCCCGTTCCATTATTTCGTAATGTAAAGGGGTGCAAAATATCAGATGTCAGATCTCCTTGGACACTACTATTCACACACGAAATAATAGCAATTTCCTTCTTGAACGTTTTCTTAAAAGGTCCGTACTTAGCTTTATACATTGAAATAAGCAAAATAAGCATGATCGTTAAAATTAGGCTTGGAAACCCTGAATACCAAAATAAGCAATTCCCCGCAGAGGCTTAAAATTTTCGGCCCTGGATATAACATTAAAATGCAGAACAAAAATTGGAGGAGGAGCTCGGCCAAACGCTTAGCAAAAATATGAGAGCCAAATAATTTGTATTTATTTATTTAAAGTATGCTTTATAAACTTAGATATAAGTTGAAAATAACTTAGCAAACTTATAAATTATATATATCGTCGTTTAAAGTGCAAAACCGCGTATCAACAAAATGCAAAACCGCGTATGTGAAATTTTAGAAATTATTTTCGAGAGTGTAAAAACACTAATTTAAAAATGGTTCTCTAGTTTATAAAGCAAACGCATTTCTGGCTAGTATATTTCAGAACGAATGGATAAGGATTGAGCCAAGAGCTTGTGTGAGCAAATCCAATTTTTGGCAGCCAATGGTAGTTACGCGGTTTTGCAGAATGACGATACGCGGTTTTGTACTTTAAACGACGATATGTATATACATATATAGTATGTGTACATTGTATATTCCTTTAACTTAATTTCATTTATTATTGTTTTTGCAGTATTCAAACGCGAAGTTAAATCTGTGGCGGATTCTGGCAAGTTTGCGGAATTTATGGGCAAAGGTGTCGTCGAATTCCATTTGATAAATATAGATGATATAGAGCAGTTTGAAAAGAAGCAGCAGTAAAGGAAATGAACTTAATTAATTTCAGTGCTCGCGGACATAGCATGCAGTTGAGTTTATGATTGTAAAACTTGATGTTGCTGGATTTACTAATCAGCTATTTTTAAATCTAATAATTGAAGCATCAAATATTTGTTCGTAGGCTTGCATAGTCAATGACGTGATGCAATGTCTACCTTGCTTTAGAAAATTATTGGGGAAACATTTTCTTAGTTTTCATAAATTTTACTGTATTATTCGCAGCTTTTATTATTGTACGCAGAATAATTTTTAAAATAAATTTAAAACACTACTCCACAAATTATGTGAGAATCGAATGAACGTAAGAACAAAACAAAACAATTTCTGCTAGTCTTGGGTCGCTGAATACGAAAATAATACCCATGTTTGTTTTACAAGAGATATTTGTGAGATTTTTTTCAAAACCCAAATATCTCATGAAAAAGTCATCCGATTAAGGTAAGCAGTTCCAAAGGTATTGATGTGTCCTTACCAAATATATATAATTTGAGCAGATGTAAGTAAAAATGATTAGTGTTGTCAGCAACCAAAGTCGAAAAAGTTAAATTTCCAATCATTTTTGTAAAGTAGTCAGTTTTAATTGATGATTTTTGATTAAACATTTATTTTAAGTATTTTTTAAATTCAATTTTCGACCAAAAGTGTGATTGTGTCAAAACCATTTGAAAAATATTGGTATTGTTCTCGTGTTCAGCGACCCGAAGTTAGCTTGGAAAATTATCTTTTAAGACAGGTTAATTTTCCGTGTAAACTAGTGAAATATTAGTTAAAACATGCATAAAGTTAGCAATCGACCATGGTCACCAAAATATAAAAAAGAAATATCGTTGTAAAAATTAAACACGAACACGTTCCAAATCCTAAAATAGCAATTATTGTGCATATGAAACCATTGTGTACCTAAACTTAAATTAATTGTGGAAAATAATAAAATCGTGTTAGATCCATTCCAGCGAAGATGACACCACAGGTAAAAAAATAAATTACATGATGGATTGTGTTTGAATCTGTGAAAACATTAAATCAGATAGAATAACTCTTTAGAAATAGATTTTTATCGATTTAGCTTTCTCTGTTTCCTCTATTTTTATTGTTATAAACGCAGCCGTAGTGTAACTATAATTATGTTCACATTGCGCCATAAACTCGAGTTTACGCTTTTCATGTACCAATGTACTAAGAGATCTTACCGTGACGTCTTCACTTAATCAAAAAAAAAAGTTCAAGATACACTTTTATGTGCAAAAAATAACTGAACAACTAAAAGTCTTCTTATATGTACGGAACTTATCATAGACAATTTTTATTTTGATTACCAGAATTAATGGTAGCCTACTCTTTAAGATTAATATCAAGCAATATCTGTGTACAAATAATAGTAGAAATTCCGAAGTTCAGTCACGAACTCATCCAAAAGTTTTGAGCAGTGTTAGCAAAATATTAATGATTAAAACTAACGAATAAATAGTTGATCGCGATCAATGATACAAGTTAATTAATAGTTATCATAAATACGAATAAATACCTTTAATCATTAATCCCAATTAAAAAGATATGATTGAGTAGTGTAGCTTATCCAAAATTTAAATTAAAACCACATACAGTACTTTTTTGTATACGACGGTTACTTGTGCTGACAAGGTGGGAGGGAGTGGTTAATAATGATTAAAATTCTGCTTACGTAATACTTGAATGGCCCCTTATCACCAAATTTGCTTAACCAAATAAATAGTTAATCTGCCTGATCTTGAGTTGCGCCTGAAAAAAAATTCACCCGAAAGTTTGTCATCCGCCCATAGTAAAGCCATGGAAACCAAAAGTGAAAGTGAACTGGTTCGGGGAAAATTAAACTCATGATAAAGCATAATGATACAAAACCATATATGTAATACTTCTATATTGGCAGTAAGCTAACTTCTCAATGTGTAAGCATTCCGAAATCAAAGAGAGACAGTCTAGTACAGTTTTTGTCAATGTATTGTGTACTTGAGTGCCGTTTTTTTATATGTGTTGTGTACATGTTTATTTATAAACGTATGTTTTCCCTTTCTTTCGTACGTGTTTATTGATATATCTGTACTGTAGTGTTTTCGGACGGTGGAGAATTGTAGAGGTTTTTCTACAATTTTTCTTGCGACTATTGTTGTAGATAAAAAGGCAACTTGTGTATTTTTTCTTTATTTATTTGGTGATGGCTCCTTCGCGATCGCACATCGAAAAACAAACTGACCACCAAAAAAAGCCCAACTATGATATTTGTACATGTACTTATGTAGGCAAAAACTAGACATAATTTCATGGAAAAATCCTGCTATGAGACCTTTCTTAATATGAAGGTCAACTATCGTATGATTTCGTGAGATGGCAAACGATAAAAACAATGAACAAGAGATTATGGTAGCGGTGCGTTAAATGCATATGCTGTAGCGGCAATGCATTGACAAAGGTGCGAAGGTAGTGGGAATAGAATAACTGGAGCTCCAACGAAAACAATGACAACAACGTCAACGATGATAAGCGATGATAGCGACGATGGCACTGATAGCGAAGGCAGCGAAAACAGCAAAGGCAATAAAGGCATCGACGTCAACAATGGCAGCGAAAGAAGCAGAGGCAATGATGTGAAATCACTCGTTTATGCTAGAGCGCACTCAAATACACATACTCATAGGTTGGCAAATTGTTCCATTAGCACACGCAGGAGCGCCGAACGCGAAGTAGGAAAGGGGGATCGTGAACATTCATCCCCTCTTGAAAGTTATGCTTTCAATGTTTTTGAGGCGAAGTTTCAACTGGTAGCTTGCAAACTCTTGTTATTGCTCGCTTGTAGATTCCATCTGCAGTTTTTACCTGTACGACCCTCACTCTGCCATCGTCACCTGGTAGTGTGGCTATGATGCGACCCATGGGCCACTTTAGTGGCGGTGTAAGGTCATCCTTTAGTATTACCAGGTCGTTAACATTGATGTTGGGTGATGCAGTCTTCCACTTCGAACGCCTTTGCAGTTCCTTCAGATAGTCCTGCTGCCAGCGATGCCAGAATTGTTGTTGGACGTACTGAATGATTTTAGAACGACCTGTACTGGTTAGGTTGACTGGCACTGATGGTTCAGGAACAGTTAACAGAGATCGGCCGATGAGGAAGTGTCCTCGGGTGAGTGGACGAAGATCATTTGGGTCGCTTGAAATTGGGGTCAGAGGTTGACTGTTCACAACTGCTTCGGCTTGGCAGACGATTGTATGGAGTTCGTCGTGTGTCAGAACATTATTTCCGATGGCACGACGCAAATGATATTTGGCCAATTTTACTGCACTTTCCCACAGGCCACCGAAGTGTGGTGATCTTGGTGGAATAAACTTCCACTCGATTCCTTCGTTTCTACAAAACTCCTCAACACGTTCGATGTGCGCTTCGGTAGTGAACGAATGCAAAAGCTCGCGTAGCTCGCGATTTGCCCCAACAAAGTTTGTTGCATTGTCGGACACAACTACCCGACACTTCCCGCGCCTGGCTATGAAACGCTTAAAGGTTGCAATGAATGCCGCTGTTGATAGATCTGGTGCAATTTCAAGGTGCACAGCCTTGGTGGTGAAACATATGAACACCGCGATGTAAACCTTGATTGGTGGTCGTCCTCTTATTCTTTGTGTGATCAATAAGGGACCACAGTAGTCTACTCCTGTTGTTTCGAATGGATACGATGGCATAATTCGACACGTGGGAAGTGACCCCATAAGCTGTTCCGTTACTATTGGACGAAGACGGTAGCACCGTATGCAGCTGTGAATCACTTGACGGATAGTCGTACGAGCACCAACGACCCAGAATTTGTCCCGTATAATGTTCAATAAGGTTTGTGCACCAGCATGAAGATTTTTGCGATGATAATGCGTGATGAGTGAGTGGACGAATGGATGGGAATGTGGGAGAACAATTGGATGTTTTGCATCGAAACTCAATGTTGAGTTTTTCAACCTTCCTCCCACTCTAATAAGATTGTTGTGCAAAAATGGAGAAAGTGATGCAAGTTTTGAGGTTTTGCTGATGGGTTGATTGAATTGCAGTTTGCTGTATTCGTCACCAAAATGAGACTTCTGAATTCTCCTGCAGACAAATTCAAGCGTGTCGTTAATTTCTTCTGGTGTTATCGACGCAACTGGTGTTCTCGACATGAAGTGCCTTACATAGGTGAAAATTCGTAGAAACTTGTTGTAGCTATTAACATATTTATTTTCGGCGAAGATGTCTACTTGAGGTGCTGACAGCAATGTCACACGTTGTTTTCGTTGTTCTGGAATGTCTGGTATGGTGTCAAAAGAAGAATTGGGCCATTCCTCTTGTGGAGTCTTCAAAAATGGAGGCCCTTGGAACCACAATTGATTCCCGCGGATTCCAGCGACGGTTGTGCCACGCGAAACTATGTCCGCTGGGTTGAGTTCAGATGGTACATGATGCCATTTATAGTGCGATGTTAGTTGCTGTATTTTTGACACTCGGTTTGCCACGAACACCGTCCATCTACATGGCTCACCACGTATCCAGCTCAAAGCGATTGTTGAGTCGGTCCAACAATGAATGTTAACCGACCTTGGTGAAAATATTTCAACTATAGTTTGTAGGAGCTCAGCCAATAACATTGTAGCACATAGCTCAAGCCGTGGCAGGCTTACTTGTTTTGTTGGTGCTACACGGGATTTGGCGCAAAGTAAGGATGACGTAGCTTCCTTCTCCTGCCGAGTCACGACGTAAATGCATGCACCATATGCTTTTGTACTAGCATCTGCAAAGGCATGGATTTGAGTTGTGACATTCATTGGTACATACCTTGGTAGCTGTATGTTGTTTATAAGGCTCAGATGATCTTCAAAATTGCGCCACTGAGTGTGAACGTCTTGAGGCACACTTTCGTCCCAGTCAAGCTTCAATTTCCATAACTGTTGCATTAAAATTTTTGCCGAAACAATAAGGGGGTTAAGTAGTCCAAGCGGATCGAAGAGGGTCGCAATTTGTGACAGTATAGCACGCTTGGTTGGTTTACGTGTTGCTGATGGCCCCGTGTAGCAAAAGAAAAAGGCATCTTGTGAGGGGGACCATCTAAGTCCGAGAGTTTTGACATAAGTCGAATCCCCTAGACCAATGGGTTCTTCTCTGTCTTCAAACGGTACGTCGTTGATGATTTCCTTGTTATTGGAGGCAAACTTACGTAGCGGAAATCCTCCTCGTTGGAGCAATGCTGTGACTTGCCCTTTGATTTCAACCACTGCGTCAACCGACGGGCCACCAGTCATCAGGTTGTCGACATAAAAATCCTTGAGGGTAATAGCAGACCCGATTGGAAACTCAGTCGACTCCCTTTTTGCGAGCTCCAGTAGGCATTTCGTAGCGAGGTAAGGTGCGGAGCTGGTTCCATACGTCACTGTTTTTAGTTGATATACCTTTACTGGATCAAGCGGAGAATTGCGCCAGAGAATGCACTGCCAATTCGCATCGGCGTTGTCGACCAATACCTGCCTGTACATTTTAGCAATGTCGGCCATCAAAACATACTTATGGATTCGAAAGCGAACGAGGATTGTAAAAATGTCATCTTGTAGAGTTGGACCTACTCTAAGTATGTCATTCAATGACCTCCCATTTGACGTCTGGCAGGATGCATCAAAAACGACGCGTAGCTTTGTGGTGCTGCTGTCAGCCTTTATGACACAGTGGTGCGGAATGAAGTACCGATTGTGTGTTGAGTTATCTGTCAGTGACATGTGCCCTAACTCTGCATACTCGTGGATGAAGTCTCGATAATTCGTTAACATTGAAGGATTTCTTAGTAGTTTATGTTCCAGTGCTACTAACCTTTTGAACGCGATTTCATATGACTGGCCCAGTGATTCTGGGTTTCCCTTAAACGGCAAACGTACAATGAATTTGTTGCTGGTTGGACACCGCCTTGTTGTTGCTTCGAAGAACCGTTCGCAGGCTTGTTCTTCCTCTGAGAACATTTTAACTGGTTCAGTATAACCTTCGAGTGTCCAAAACTTTTGCAGCAGATTGTCTAGGGTTAAATTATTACCCACTGTTATAAACGTCTTGTAGGCAGGAAGCGATGATATTTTTGATGAAAGCGATGAAGATGATATTGTAGTCTGCGAAGATGCTGACTTCGTGGATGGAATTGGTCCTGAAACGATCCACCCTAATTTTGTCTTCTGGAGGATCGGTGACCTGTTGTCGTCTTTAATTTGACCCACAAGGAGCAGGTCGAAGAATAACCCTGCACCGATTAGACAATCAACTCCTTGTGGCTCGTGAAAACTCTCATCTGCAAGTTTGATGTTGTTTGGTATTTTGCACGCGCTTGAGGAAATTCGAACGTTTGGATGTTGTGCTGTTATCGTTGGGATTATTACCGCCTCAAAACTCGATGAGTAGTTCATGTGAAGGGATTTCATTGTTAACTGACTTGTATGTTGCATTTTTGTAGATGTTGAACCTATGCCTATAACTTCGATGCTTCTTTTGACCCGTGGTAGATGCAAGTGCTGTGCAATCCGCTCGGTCACAAAATTGAGTTGTGACCCCGAATCTAGGAGGGCACGAACGATGGTTGAGTATCCCGATGAATTCGATAGATACACACGTGCTGTAGCTAAGATGACGTCTCCGCAACTCTCTTTGACCTGTAGAACCACCGGCTTGGTGTTCTCGACTGCTGGACTATTTACGATGTTAGTGGTGTTATTGGATGAGTCCCCCGCTCCATATGTTCTATGCAGCAACGTGTGGTGGCTCACTCGGCAGTGCTGGCACCTGCGAACAGATGGGCATACACTTGACGTGTGATTCTTACCCAAACAGTTCAGACATAGGTTAAGGCGTTTGACACGAAGAAACCGGTCTTGAGGGCTCAATTTCATAAATTGTTCGCAGTTGAATGGGCTATGATGAGGACTTGTACCACACAGGAGGCACTTAGTGGTTGAATTCGTTGTGACAAGTGAATGTCCTCTGCTGCCCAAAGTTTTTGATGCATATTTCTTAGATGACGATGCCAGTTCGGGGGTTGGTTTGTTCGCCGCCAGCATATTAAACGTCTGACAACGACGTTCAAGGAATGAGGCGAGATCTGTCCAAGTAGGCATCTGCAAGGGTGTTGAGTTTGTGGCGGTCCACTTTACGGCAACTTCTTCTTCCCATTTTGTACGCGTTGACGGGTCTAATTTACTTGATACTAGGTGAAGTAGGATTGCCTCACCGACTTGTTGCGTGGTTGCCAAAGACTGCATGGCCCGAAGATTTACATTGACTGTGTCAATGAAGTTGCGAAGCGATGAGAGGTTCGATGATGAAAGCTGTGATAGATCGCAGATCTGTTGCATGTGGGATTGAAAGATTAAGCGGCTGTTGTTGAAGCGAGTGATGAGGAGATCAAGCGCAGTGCTGTAGTTGTTGCTAGTCACTTCAAGCGACTGTATTAACCGCGAGGCTTCTTCCGTTAGACAAGATCGTAAGTATTGAAATCGTTCGATGTTGGTTAGGTCTCGATTATTGTGTACTAACGTTGTAAATACATTGTGAAAATCAAGCCACTCTGATTGTTTTCCGCTAAACTTTGTTAGTTGCAGCTTCGGCAAGTTTATACGGTGTGTTGGGCAGCGTTCTACATGTGTGCTGCTGAGTTGGGTGGACGGTTGAATCCTCTGCAGCTCTTCCATCTGGTCAAGGATTGCGGCTTTTGCTTCCACATACGACTCTTCAAGTGCTACGCGATGCTCTGCTTCTAGCTGCGACTCGTCCAGCTCCTCTAATTGAGTTTGTAGAGCGTCAAGTGCGGTATATTGTCGTTCCACCAAACTCAATTTTGCTGCGAGTTGGCGAAGCGAAAGTGACTCGCCTTCAAGCACTCCAATGTGTACCGAGCGCAAGCGTGTTAGGAGATTATCCCGCTGATGCATCTTTATGCGAATATTCCGTGTTGCCACTCCTTCTCGCGATTCTTCATTAGTATTGAGGGAGGATGCCTCGGATGCACCATCATCCACTGGAATTGACTCAGGCTCCATTTCACAATGACGAGCACACAACTCGAAGAAAATATAAAAGTGCTTATGTCGATCACAAATGGGTTCCTAGGAATGTCCTGTAGCAGGATGCGCGCGCTGTCCGGTGGAGCCAGGTGGACTGTATATCGATGACGGGTGTCTTGAAATTGACATGAATATGCCAGACCGAATCCGGCTCAAAGGACCTCTGGAGAATTGTAGAGGTTTTTCTACAATTTTTCTTGCGACTATTGTTGTAGATAAAAAGGCAACTTGTGTATTTTTTCTTTATTTATTTGGTGATGGCTCCTTCGCGATCGCACATCGAAAAACAAACTGACCACCAAAAAAAGCCCAACTATGATATTTGTACATGTACTTATGTAGGCAAAAACTAGACATAATTTCATGGAAAAATCCTGCTATGAGACCTTTCTTAATATGAAGGTCAACTATCGTATGATTTCGTGAGATGGCAAACGATAAAAACAATGAACAAGAGATTATGGTAGCGGTGCGTTAAATGCATATGCTGTAGCGGCAATGCATTGACAAAGGTGCGAAGGTAGTGGGAATAGAATAACTGGAGCTCCAACGAAAACAATGACAACAACGTCAACGATGATAAGCGATGATAGCGACGATGGCACTGATAGCGAAGGCAGCGAAAACAGCAAAGGCAATAAAGGCATCGACGTCAACAATGGCAGCGAAAGAAGCAGAGGCAATGATGTGAAATCACTCGTTTATGCTAGAGCGCACTCAAATACACATACTCATAGGTTGGCAAATTGTTCCATTAGCACACACAGGAGCGCCGAACGCGAAGTAGGAAAGGGGGATCGTGAACAGACGGTACTAGCTCTTACTGCCAATATAGGAGTATTACATATATGTACAAAACATATTTTTTAATTACGATTACGATTACCTGTTTAGTAAAAATTATTTTACACATGATTAACTCTAGTCCGATTAAGTTTAATGAAAGCGTCTAGTTGATTAAAATATCAACGATTAATGCCCACATTGTTTATTATGGGGTATTGAATATGAAGCACACGAGTTATTCCGCGCCAGTCTGCGATATGTAGGTACGTATGTAAATCCTATCACCTTTAAATTACATATTTTCTTCAAAAGCGGAATTTTTGTAATAATAGCATAAATGAAGCAAACCAGATAATTTGGACTACGAGCAGGAAAACTATACCAAACCCCTTCTGCTCCATTTACTTTATTTTGGGAGTGGTCGGATACTGTGCACTTTGAACATTTTGCCCGTTTGCCTTAAATTTGTAAAATAACAATATTTTCTTTTTTATTTTGTTTACATCTGTCATTTGTTATTAATGGAGACAAGACTATAAGAGTTGCCAAATATAAAAATTTTAATATCTTTATATTAAAATAATAATTTACAAAATAAATACTTTATTAAAACACAAACATTTTAAGTTATTCTACATTTTTAAAACTATTTATCAACGTCAAGCATATTGTAGTTTTCTTGCATTTGAGAACAAATAAGGGGATACATACATATGTAACATGTATGTACTTTTAGCGGCCGCCGTTGTAGAGTGATTACAGGTGCGTACTTTTACTCGGTAGGCCCAACGTTAGACCCCTGGTCAAAGCATAATCCAAAATAGCAGTTGTCGTTTGGCAGGCTTTTAAGTGTATTTCTGCATTGAAAAACCTTCTCATAAAACCATTTGCCGTTCGGAGTCAAAGTAAAAATGTAGGTGCATCCATATGTGTTACAACAACAGAACTCACAACTCAAATTTGAGGAGAAGCGCGGCCAAATGCTTACAAAAATATTTTAGCTCCAAATATTTATTTGTTTACTTATTTTAAGGGAGATGGCAATCTTCCGGCTTGAACCGCTTCAAAAGTTTGGTTTTCAAAATTGCTCAGTGAGGCCAAGTTTAATCAAAATGTAGGGTTGCATGCCCGTTAACACCAAATAAAAGTGGTGTTTAAGGCGAGTTTAACGAAAATTGTTTGTATGGTAAGAGCAGAATTTAGCGTTAAACTCCAAAAATGGCTCATAAATTCAAGTTAATGACTCAATGAGAACGTAATTTATGTCTAATATAATATTTTTTCATCTAGTTGTCAAGGCATACCTCGGGTATTAAAGGTGACAATGCAAAAAAAAAACAACGATAAAAAAGGTACAACTCCTGGTCATTACAACAGTGGTAAGTTATTACAAAAACACATTTATGGTGAGAAGTTATAAGAGTTTACAGAAACGTTTATTGGAATTCCCACCCGTCAAAGCAAAATATGTATTTTTTTAACATACAATTATTTAATCTTCCCATTGTTCAAATAAGACCCCCTTATTAAAAGTTTAGTAAATATTTACATCAAACCATTAGCGTTCATTTTACACATGAACTATGTGTCCTCAATAGTGACTCCTCCCACCCGTCACAAGCTAAAATATTTTTTAATTTTCACACAATAAAAGCGCTATTACCGAAATATTTTTACTTTGTCTAAAATTGGGAAATGAATCATTCAACTCAGAAAGACGAGTGTCATCGTTGTCCCACTCGTCACTCTTGGAAAATATCCAGCCCTATCGCCAATTTCATGTGAATAAATTGTTCCCATAATTTAACACGCAAAACAAAAACAAATTGGGAAAAATTGTTTTTGTTTTACTTCATAATTTTTGGGAGTATTTGTTCACGTGAAATTCGCGATAGGGCTTATCAATTTTTTGTGTAAATTATATAATTAAGTTTTATACTTAATTAGTTTCGTAATAATCTGATGTCTGACTTCAAGTGTTAACATTATGAAACTTGGCAAGGTAATTGTTAAAGAGAAATTCAATTACAAGTTTGAGCAAAAACGAGTTGCGACACGTTGAAATGGCCTAAAACTCAAGATACATTAAAGGGGATGCATTGTAAAAGCATAGACAGACGGCAACGTTGATCCGGAATAACGGCGCAGTTGATCTAATCAGAATTGTACTTTGATAGACGGGTCGTGGGTTCAAACCAGAGAATATCCACCAAGCTACACGGCTGCCTCCAGATCGAAAAACGAGAAGCCAGATCGACCATGTTGTGATAGACGGAAGGCATGCCTCCAGCGTTTTAGACGTACGTACATATACTCCGAGTGCCAAACATCGACTCGGACCACTATCTTGGTGTAACCAAGATACGAACCCGCCTCTGTGTAGCAAAAAATGTGCGCCCAACAATGCAAGGAAAGCTTAACGTCGAAAAGCTGCAATCACAACAGACGGCCAATTTATTCGCCACTCGACTCACACACCTGCTCTCTGAGAGCATTGTTCAACAATCCGACATACGCGAACAGTGGAACCACATTTCCCGATCATTAAGTACCGCCGCCGAAGAAGTTGTTGGATTTCAGCGAACTCGAAAGAACAACTGGTACGATGAGGAATTTCAAGAAGCCGCAGAAAAAAAAGACCCCGCCTATAGGGCCACGCTGCGATCGGGCGCAACGCGAGCCATGTGGGACCGTTATAGGGAACTGAAGAACGAAGCGAGACGTATTTTCCGCAATAAGAAGAAAGGGGCCGAAATACGTGAGTGCGAAGAGCTTGAGATGCTAGCCGACAGGAGAAACGCCCGAAAATTTTATCAGAGAGCTAGGCGACTTACGGAAGGTTTCAAGACCGGGGCGAACTCCTGTAAGAACAACCATGGCGACCTAGAGACTGATGTCCAGAACGTACTTAAATTATGGAGGGAGCACTTTTCCACCCTATTGAATGCCAGCAGCACTGAAAGTTGTGGAGAAGGCGAACCCGAGCCCCCAGTCGAAGACGATGGAGTCGACCATGACGAGGTGCGAATAGCGATTACGCAGCTGAAAAACAACAAAGCTGCTGGAGCTGACGGCCTACCAGCCGAGCTATTCAAGTGTGGCGGCGAGGAGCTGATGAGGTGCATGCATCAGCTCTTATGCAGAATATGATCAGACCAAGGCATGCCCTACGACTGGAATTTACGTGTGCTCTGCCCAATTCACAAGAAGGGCGACCTCGCCATTCGCGCCAACTATCGCGGAATCAGCCTTCTAAGCATAGGTTATAAGGTCTTATCGAGTGTATTGTGCGAAAGACTGAAGCCCACCATTAACGAACTGATTGGACCTTATCAGTGTGGCTATAGGCCTGGAAAATCCACCATTAGAGCTGTGTCAACCACTCATGATAGTATCGATATATCGAATTTGCTGTGCGTGCGTTACACTATCGATGTTTTGGTTCTGATAGTGGACGATAGTGTTCAGCATTTCCTATATTTTCACATCACTGTTTTTGGCAAATTGGGGAACACACGTGAAAATTACTTAATTAGTGTTGGCGGCTTAAATATATTCAAATATGGACAAATTTTTCCGAATCGCAAGTGTCAAGGGTAAGCGCCATGATTTATTTATCACTGTGTGAGAATATTCATTACAGTTTTGTTCATACGCAGATCCCGACAATAACAATGAAGAAGAATCGCAATTATTCAAAAGGCGCCGGATTGGCAAATCGAAGGCGTGGAGTCATTTTGAACGGTCAAAAGATGGTAAGACGGCCAGGTGTATCCACTGTTCCAATGTTTATAAAACAAGTGGCAATACCTCCAATTTATTCGACCACATTAAGAGGGTGCACGCTGCCATTGATTTGGACGTATTACCAAAAGGCCCGAGGACGATTCCGTTTCTGACGAACAATTACGATCCGTCTTCTGAAAGAAAAAAAATCATTGACAGTGCCTTGGCTAAACTCGTATCGCAGGACATGCAACCATTTTCGATTGTAGAGGATTCCGGTTTTCGCGAGTTTGTAAAAGTGCTTGATCCTCGGTACACACTACCTTCGCGAAAAACACTGCAAAACGTGCATATGAGTGGCATGTACAACGACATGAAGGCAAAACTGTTTGCGATTTTGGATAGTGTTGAAAGTTGCGCTATAACAACGGACTGTTGGACTTCGAGAGCTAACGAAGCGTATATTACTGTTACATGTCACTTTGTTAGCGCAGTATTGGCCACAAAACCATTACAGGATAACTCGAATCATTCAGCTCAAAACATAGCTGCTTCACTACGTGTTGTCTTTGATGAATGGAATATTTTTAGCAAAATATCAGCCATTACAACTGATAATGCAAGTTCTATGATAAAAACTTGCGAACTTTTACAAAAAAAACACCTACCTTGCTTTGCACACACCATAAACTTGGTTGTGCAGGACTGTCTAGCGCTCGATTGTTTAAAAGATATTTTGAGAAAGTGCAAAAGGATTGTCACATATTTTAAGTCTAGTGCAATTGCACTTAGCAAATTTAAAGCAGAACAACAAACCGAACAAAAGTACAGCTTGATACAAGAAGTGCCTACAAGATGGAATAGTGCATTTTATATGATAGAAAGAATAATTTTAACTAACGATGCTATAGTGAAAGTTCTGCTAAGTACTTCCAAGGCACCACCACCATTAACAGCTGACCAAATCGCTTTGTTAAAAGAACTAATGTTGTTACTTGCACCGTTTGATAGTGCCACTCGTCAGATTTCGTCATGTGTCTCGATTACAATATCCCTGATTATACCAATTGTGTGTGGGTTACTGCATAACTTGGATAATGTGAAAATAAAAGTAAAATCTCCAGAAGGTATTGAAATTCATAAGTTTTTGGTGGAGCGTGTTATAAAACGACTCATGCCTTATGAAGAGCGCACATTTCCAAGAATAGGGACACTACTCGACCGCAGGTTTAAAAAACAAGGATTTCGTTCGCCATTTAATGCCAATCATGGACTTAAAATTTTGGAGAATGAACTAGCCGCCAAAAAAAAAATTGACACTGTGCCTTCGGAGCCGCCAACATTAAAAGAAACTTCAGTTCCCTCAGGGCAGAAACTTTTCGAGTTTTTGCAAACAAATATAGCCAATATGGGGAGGACAGATCGGGTCGATGCTATATTGGAGCTACGTCAATACATGTTAGCGGCACATTCTCCCCAAGACACAAATCCATTGGAGTTTTGGAAGGTAAGCATATCCAAAAATCTTTGAGTCGATACCAATGTTAATACCATTTAAATTAATTTAGTCCACTTCGACCGATTCCTTATTCAAATCTTTAGCAAAAAGGATTCTATGCATTCCAGCCACTTCGACCGAGTCGGAGAGAATGTTTAGCAAAGCTGGGCTAATAATTAGCGATAGAAGAGCTTCGCTAAAGCCAAAGAATATAGAGATGCTAACGTTCCTCCATAAAAACATGTGGATCTCAAAGTAACTTATAAGTTCACTTTGGAAGTTTTTTACTTCATATATATATATTTTTTTTTGTGATATTAGCTATAATAAGCTATACGAAGACTGTGAAATGAATTGTTTAAGTTGATTTTGTATGTAAATAAAATTTAAAATGTCTAAAAAACGATACTATCGATAGTATCGAATTTTTTGTTGAAAAACCTCGAGAATATCGAATATCTCAACTATCGATGTTTTCCCAGCTCTATCCACCATAGCTCAGGTGTTCACAATGCGCCAAATCTTGGAAAAGACCCACGAGAATAGGGTCAACACACACCACCTATTTGTCGATTTCAAAGATGCTTTCGACAGCGCGAAAAGAAGTTGTCTTTATGCCGCGGTGTCTGAATTTGGTCNACAGCACGAAGAGAAGTTGCCTTTATGCCGCGATGTCTGAATTTGGTATCCCCGCGAAACTAATACGGCTGTGTAAAATGACGTTGAGCAATACCACCAGCTCCGTCAGAATAGGGATGGACCTCTCCGAGCCGCTTGATACCAAACGAGGTTTCAGACAAGGTGACTCCCTCTCATGTGATTTCTTTAATCTGATGTTGGAGAAGATAATAATTGTTGGCGTATGCCGACGACATCGATATTACCGGTAAAAACAAGGGCTAAGTCTGTTCTGCCTTCTCGGGATTGGATAGAGAAGCAAAGCGAATGGGTCTGGTGGTGAACGAGGACAAAACGAAGTATCTCCTGTCATCAAACAAACAGTCAAGAGCATACACGTCTTTGCACATACGTCACCGTCACTGTTGACAGTTACAAGTTTGAAAAAGTAGACGAATTCGTTTATTTGGGAACCAGCATTAACACCAATAATAATGTCATCCTTGAAATCGAACGGAGAATCACTCTTGCCAACAAGTTCTACTTTGGACTGAGTACGCAATTCAGAATTAAAGTCCTCTCTCGTCGTACAAAGATCACACTATAAGTCACTCATCATGCCTTTGCTGGTGTATGGCCAGTGATCGGACTTAATAAAAATTCTGTGTGGTAGAATCTGGAAAAAAAATGTAAGTTTAGAAAAAATGTGGTAGATCTCAGGTTTCGGATCAAACTGTTTACAAAAATTTAAAAAAAAATCTCCATGGTTTCACCTAAACTGACATTGTTTTAATTCGAATCTCTAGAAACACCTTTTAACTTGGGTTTTGCCGAGTTTGACAATCCTCAAGTAAAAGTAAACAACGCCTTAAAAACTTAAGATGCACTGTAATGTGCTAATACTTTCACAAAAATCGCGATTTTTTACATTTCCTTTATTAGTTCTTTTTATAAATCATATATTTTGCAATTTAACACAATAAAATCACGTTTCCCGACGAAAAACTTAATATTAAGAAATTGAGAAAATTCGGTGTTTGACAGTTCCTTTTCTCCTCCCATTCGGCTTTGTTTACTTCTACTTGAGCAATGTCATCACCACCGGGAATGCGAAATCTTGTATACTATCATTCTTGTTATTAGGGACACGAACTTCGATACGATACACCATATCGATATTTTTGCCATTCGATACCGATACTTTTTACTCGAAAGTTTTCAAACGATATTTTTTGGAATCGAGTACCAGAACATTTGTATCGTATCGAATCGTAAATGTACAAAGTTAAAAATGNGGGAATGCGAAATCTTGTATACTATCATTCTTGTTATTAGGGACACGAACTTCGATACGATACACCATATCGATATTTTTGCCATTCGATACCGATACTTTTTACTCGAAAGTTTTCAAACGATATTTTTTGGAATCGAGTACCAGAACATTTGTATCGTATCGAATCGTAAATGTACAAAGTTAAAAATGCGAATTTGTGGTAGATTTCAGACCTTGTGTGGTAGATGTGGTGGATGCTCCAAAAAGTGGTAGATCTACCACAATGTGGCAGAAGTCCGATCACTGTGTATGGCGCGGAGTCATGGACAATGAAAACATCTGATGAAGCGGCTCTTGGAGTTTTCGAGAGAAAGATTCTGCGAAAGATTTACGGACCTTTACGCGTTGGCGATGGCGAATATAGTGATAGAACTTTTTAGAAAAGTATCGATACCAGTACTCATATAGAATACTCTAAAAAAGTATCGATGCCAGTACTCATATTTGCAAAAAAGTACCGATAATACTCGTACTTTGAAGTATTCTCAAAGCAAACGCAAAAAGTAAACAAAAATCAGATTGCTTTGCTTTTTTCGCCTCTTCCTATTTGTAAATTGAATAGTCACTGCTCTTAGTATTTAGTTTTAATCTGATCTAAAGGAATTTTTGGAATAAACTTCCGATAAATTAGTTTTACATGCGTAAATTAAATGTTTATAGCAAAAAGCTTATTTCCAAGTTTTTAAAAGCAAATATTTTATTGTTTAGTGTTATTGTTTGACGCGTACATGTATTTATAAATAACTTTACTTTGAAAATGAAATGTAAATGTAGAAGACGAGAAGCAAATGTGGTGAAGCCCATTCTGTATTGAAAAGATAAGCTCCCTTTTATAAAAATTTTCTTCAAGAATGGGCTGGATTTCACAACGAAGGTAGAATACATGGGTTAACGACGGCTGCCTTATGCTGGCGAGTGGCCACGTTGTCGAGTCGAAAGACTATCTCTTCCCCCATTCATTATCAAAGGGGAGGCAAGATATTCGTTTTTCAATTATTTAAACATTTTTACCCGAAGCCAATGTTGAAATGACCGCTACATTTTTTTCTAGGTTGTGTAAAAATTTCATAACTGTGTCAATTACCAGGAGCTCACTAGAACAAAATATGTAACTATTAATTATTCGTATGGGAGTATACATATCGTCGCCCGTATGCCATAAACATGAATGTGTAAAAATGAACATTTTGGGAAATCAAGTTTGAAAGTTTTTTTGCGAAACTTAGCTCTACAGTTATGCAATTGAATTGCTAAAATATTTACTTTCCGTGTACGCATGGTATTCTGGGTTTTGGTATAACATAGAAAATCCAAAGATTAACCAAGTCAGCCCAATAACTCAAAACTGATAAATTTGCACATTCATGCTTCTGGCATGAGGGTGACGTTATGTGAATTAAAAACTTTAAAGGCGCTGTTTTCGGTTTTGGAGTTATGAAAATACTGAAGTAAATGAGCTTTATGTTCATTTTCATAACATTCATATTGGATATTGAAGTTAATATTCGAACGTTCGCCATAATATTTATTGGGTAATTAAAATAAATTTACTTAGAAAAGTTCTTAACTCGTCGATACTTTTCGGCATTCAGTACTTGTGAAAAAGTATCGAGTTCTCGATACTACTCAGTACTCATGAAAAGTATCGATATTCTGTACTCGGTACTCGTATCGTTCTATCACTAGGCGAATAACGCAGACGATTTAACGATGAGTTGTATGAGCTTTACAACGCTATAGACAAAGTGCAGCGATTTAAAATTCAGCGGCTCCACTGGCTTGGCCATGTCGTTCGAATGGACAGAAACGCTCCTGGTCTGAAAGTATTCATACGATGCTAGTAACAGAGGAAGAGGAAGGCCTCTTCTGCGTTGGAAAGACCAGGTGGAGAAGGACTTGGCTTCACTTGGCATTTCCAACTGGCGTTAGTTAGCACAGAAGAGATATGACTGGCGTGTTGTTTTGGACTCGGCCAAAATCGCTTAGGCGGTTACAGCGCCAATAAAGAAGAAGAAGAAAGAAGTTTGATTTTTATGAACTAAAAACAACTTTAAAATAACTTCTTCGAAAGCCCTTCTGGAAGCTCTTCTTTGAGTAGCGAAAGCAGAAGCCCTTCAATTTGTGCCGCTCCGTACAAAAAAAGGAGAAAGGAATGACTTTCAGAAAGGCGTTTTGAAAGAAATTTTAACTCTTGAAATTAAGATCTGCTTCATTTGAAATTTGGCTGCACTATACATAGCACAACTTTGTTATCGACTACTCGATCAGCCGTTTATTTAGTGTGCTGATTTTGATATCGTTGTTTTTTATTACAGTTAATTTTTAAATGCGGAACTTTAAAGATAAGTGATGTGGAGAGCAAAGAACTTCAGCAAAGAAAGTTGATTTTGCACTAATTCATGCAAAATCCACACATATCCCAATGTCGGTTAGTAAAATTGCTGAAAATTGAACGGTCGATGGTACAAAATGTATTGTCAAATATCAAGAAAAATTCCAGCATTGAGAGAAAGGCGGAATCTGGCGGAAAATCAGGCACTATAAATAAAATAGTGGAGAAGGATGTTCCAAGGACTTTGAAAAGGAATCCGGATCTCTCTGAACGTGTTGTTGCACCTGGAGTGTTGTTCTGAGAGCCTGTATTGTTTTGGCCTGATTTGGCAACAAGCCATTGTGCAAAAAAGCGCAAGAGTTTTATACACAAAATGGAACCAATATTGTATTAAAAGAGGCCATTCCTCCGAATTGCCCGAGCGTTATTGGGAATATATGAAATCGAAATTAAAAAGAAACAAAATGCACACCTTCAAGAATAACGCAGTTCCGCAGAATTTGGCGAAAACAGGCTCAATCGATCAACGAAAGGGATGTCCAAGTATTAATGGCGGGTGTCATCTCTAAAGTACGGGTATTTCGGCGTGGAAATTAATTCTAATAATATTTGTAAATCTTTCATCTAAATAGCAATAAAAGAAGGTTATAAAAAAGTTTCGACTGAATTATTCATATTTAAATTAGTCTTTTTGTTACTTAATACCTGCCAGATTTCAACTGAAGCAGATCTTATCTACTGCGTAGTATGTGTGACCTCTTAGCCGTGTACCTGTTGAGGAACTTGCACTTTTTTGGCATTTGCCTGAAGATACAAATAAGATTTTAACCAATAAACTAAACAGAAAGTCACCAGATATTGTTCAACATGTTAAAAAAAATGTTTCACTATAGATTTTGGACTACTAATGACAGAAAGTTTAACCTTTATTTCAAAGCGAAAATCAACTAAAAATTAGATGGGTGTCTGCATTGATCTTCATTAAAAAACCTGGACAATTTAAGTGTGGACCAGGACAAAAGGATAATTTTTTAATCAGGACAAATTCTTGAAAA